GTATCGTGCCAAGATTTCGAAAAGAAAAACTGGACTTCGTAGTCCAAAACGCCGTATCCCAGTCAGTACGGTCGTACCAGTTAAATCAGTGACCGTTGTGTACTGGTACAGTAGGTAAAGGATTTTTACCAGTAATTCACGATGGAGTGACGTGGTTATCACGCTGACCGACGCTTCCGATGTAATGCTTCGAAGCGAGCGGATGCTACAACCCCCAAAAGGAAGTTCTTTACACAAGTGAATATTTTTCGAACAAGTAAAAGTTAGGGTGTATTAAAAACAGGTTTTCCTTCCGCACGTATTCGGTGGGGTGCGGAAAAGAGGACATTTGGGACGTAGAACAAAATGCAAAAAATCACAACTTGATCAGACACTATTTATACTATCTCCGGCTTTTACTATCCCCATAAAACATAAAGCGAAATCAGTTATCAGCCATAGTTGTTAAAAGGCTTAAATTCGCTTAAGTCGATCAATATCTCCAAAACTAAAAGAGCTACGTCCAAACGGACGAAATTTTTGTGTGTCGGTGGAAAAATGGCGTGTTTACTAATGGGCGAACTTGGTTTGCTTCTTTTCTTACTTTTCGATTTAAGTTTTATTAAGTGAATTTCTGAAAATGTAATTGCGTGGAGGTGATAGTAAATATTGCCCGATCGAGTTGCGATTTTTTGCATTGTCTACGTTCCAAATGTCCAATTTTCCGCATCCTATATAATCCGCGCCGAAGGAAAACCTGTTTTCAATACACCCTGGTAAAAATGCCTATCACAAGTCAAGGCTGTTTACTTGTCGTTATGCAATAGATCATTTTCACGAGGAAGATGCGAAGATTCAGACAAACTATACGACTGTAAACAATTCAACGTAACATTCCCAGTTCCCATTTTCTTTTCACTGAACGACTTAAAGCCGCCCTCATCTGCTCGAGGTCGACCTCTTGCAGGTAAGAGTGCGGCGGAGGGGTCGCCGCTAGAGCTCCCTGCGCCTCATCTCTACCGCCTGCCGGTCTCCGTTGGTCAGGTGTCCGTCCGAGTGCGAACCGATCATCTCTGGCAGTGCCTCCAAACGGGCTGGCTGTTACAGGCTCTTGTCGTTTGCCCGAATTTGATGCAGTCCGTGAAAACCCGTTCTGGTCCTTTGTGGCCAGTGTGCGATGTCAGTTGATGCTGTGAGCTATGAGCACGATGTAGTATCGTGGCTATGAGGTTTGAACATACCCCTCATGGGGCATGACAGAAGTGCGCCCTGGAGAAGAAGCTTTACAGCTTTTGGACCCCGCCCGGCTAGGTTTGCCAGCACTTCAAGGCCGCAATATTGGTCACTCTCCGACTTTTGGCCAAGGTCATCGAAACGGCAAAGGCATGCGGAATCGAAAGATGTGTTTATTTTTCTTGTACGACGAAAACTGTCCGAGCGCGGCCCTCCCGAACGCGCGCCGAGAGCCGCGGCGGAGGGTGCGTCGCGTCGGATTTCTGCCTGCCAGCTCGGCTGGCGGCACGGGTCGACGCGCCACTGCTCATGCGCAGAACGCGCACAGCAAATGCGGACTGAATGTGGATGGTGTGTTGTTTAAGGCAGTACTATGTTCAGAATCATTCCGGACATGAGCGGCTCGACTGTAAATCATCGTCGGACCTCTCTGCGTTCGGGAGGGCCGCGCTCCGACAGTTTTCGTCGTACAAGAAAAATAAACACATCTTTCGATTCCTTATGCCTTTGCTGTTATGGTGACCTTCACCAAAAGTCGGTGCGACCATTGTTGCGGCCTTGAAGTGCTGGAAAACCTAGCGGGGCGGGGTGCAAAAGCTGTTAAGCTGCTTCTTCGGGGCGCCCTTCTCTAATGCATGGGGTGTGCTAGCTGTCACCCGGGCTGTTTTCCATACGGCCAAAAGAAAAGAGCCCGTGACAGGCAGCCCGTCTGGAGGCACTGATCTCTGGTGCTTAACTGCCACGTGAACTAGTAAGATGAAGTAAGGAAATGTATTTTCACAAAAAAGGGGCCTTGTAGATTACCAAGACTATTTTCCTTGATGTACATAAATGATGCTGCGTTGGAAAGTATTCCCGGAGGTATTACGACGACAGCACGGTAAGCACTGCAACTTGCATTGCGTACTCGGAAAACACCCAGAATGTAGCCATCAGAAGTCGTTACATTGTACGCCTCACCACTGAAACCGAACTTGGGAGCTTCGCTATCCTGGAAAAGGGCAGACTCAAATATGAAATCAAGAAGGCACCAGCACAAACAAGACGATAAAATAATGACTTCGTTATTAATTTAACCCTTAAAATTGTAAAGTACAAAAAAACATTACCACTCTGTACACTGAAGTAAAAAGGGCACAGCTAACGATCATCTTCAAGTGTTTAACACAGTGTTCCTTACTTGCTATGTGTTTAACACGCTTCGAATATTGCAAACTGTTCAGCTGATATGTTGAACATTTTTTTTTTGTGTTCAACTTCAGCGTTGAGCTGCAGTGCAGTGTCAGCCTTTACTGTATGACGCGGGCTATCGACTCACATTCAGTAATGAGCAAGAGCTAATCATATAAAACGGATTCCTTACTGGCCTGATGTAGGGTGGTACAGGCAGGGCAGCATTCACCAAGACGCCCACTAGTCCTGTGAGGCTTGTGACTACGTCAGAGCTGAACTGCGTCAAATTGTTTTGAAGCACAGCAGACTGCAGCAGCGGATTAAGTACTGAGGTATACGGGGCCAGGGCTCCTATCAGAGCTCCGGGGATGGGCAGAAGTTTCTCCACCTCACCGACGATGGGTGACAACAAGGGCTGCAAAACTAAAGAAAAAGACTCGGGAAATCATGAAGCGTTTTAGTTTCTAGCTTACAACGGAAAACCATACACGTGTGTGAATATAATGTCTCGAAGTATTTAACTATACGACTCAATATCTGATTTGTACACGTTCCTATGAGTTTTCCGATTTTTAGACTTGCTTGCCTATAGAAATTTTACTTTTTGTTGGTCTACTCTGAACTACACAATACACTGTTATTCAGATACTGTGACGTCACATTCTATATAATGTGAACTGTGTCACATGATTTAGAATATCATGTCACATTCTTTAGAACGTGACATACCTTTTGCACCGCTCTGTTCCCCAAGGCTCAGTGCATAAGAGGCGAATTTGTCACGTGAAAACGAATGTGACATGATATTCTAAATAATGTGACACAATTCACATTTTATAGAATGTGACGCACAGTATTTGAATAACAGTGTAGGCATTGGGCACTGAATAATCAGTGTATGTAGAACTCACACTAATAGAACAAAGTCCACATTTTTCCAATTTGGCTCATCCGGATCCTAGTCTGAATGTGCAAAATATGCCTTCTGGTTTGGTTGAATTATTTTGTAATCGAGAGGGCCGTGGTTGGGAATTAGAGCTGCGCGACGTGTGGGTATTTGTCACCACACGAGTCCGTGTGCTTCCGGCTACAGAGTCTGGCCCTGGCCCGGTCTGCCAGCGCCTCTAGCCACCCGTTCGGACTCTACGGACCCAAGTTGTCCGTCTGGGTCCGCACGACACGCTCACTGCCTAGCTCGGAAAGCAATAGTGGAATAATAGTGTGACGACTCATAATGAGGGGTAAAAGGCAGGGGAGGAAGAGAAAGAAGGTAAAAATAAGTGGACAGAAGAAAGACACAGATAGAGCAGAAACGACGACATTCAAGCAAAATTAGTAAAGTAATTTAGACT